GACAGTCTCGGCAATGCTGCGTGGGCTGCACCCGGCAGCCCTCTCGGTGTAGCGGGTCTTGTATAATCACGGCCTGCCTGCAGGTTTCCGTTATAAAGAGCATATAAAAAGAACAAAAGATAACGAAAAAAAACCAAAAAAAAAAAAAAGCAAGCCTAGATAGCGACAATGGTTGTGGTAACCCCGTGTTTAACGCGCAGGGCGGCCTTTTTAGAGCAGCGTTTCCCTCTGAGCGCTCGTTCGACCGCTCGTTTCGGCCCGCGGACACCGAAGGCCGCTGAGAGCTCCCCCCGCAACAAACTGTACTCAGGACCGTCCCAGACAAAACACAAAATGGCTCTGAACATAACGCAGCTCGCCCAGGCGCGAGGCTGACTCAACTCCAACAGCGGCCGGTGGGGGGGTTGAAAGGAAGCTGCTGATACCGGCCCAGCTGCCGTGGGGAGGCCGAGCGGGACAGGGCTGCCAGCTGATAAAACAGCGTTCACACCAGCAACAGCGCTAACAACAACAACCCGCCTCGCCTTAACCTTGGGACCAACCCTCCGCACCGTTTCAACACGCCTTTAACTTCTAAGCCGGCTGGCACGGGGCAGGGCTGCCAGCTGATAAAACAGCGTTCACACCAGCAACAGCGCTAACAACAACAACCCGCCTCGCCTTAACCTTGGGACCAACCCTCCGCACCGTTTCAACACGCCTTTAACTTCTAAGCCGGCTGGCACGGTCGGTGAAGCAAATGAATGGCACTGTTTTGGTCTTGTTGCTAACTTGGAGTTGACCTGCTGAGAAACGCAGGCTCCAAAAGCTGAGCTGGCATCATCCCCAGGGCTACAGTGTAAATAAGGAAGTAACCGCGCGCAAAAAGAAGCCATAGTGCGTTTACTCTTTAAAGGCAAAGACAGGAGATGAAAATGACTTTATATCAACTGGAAAGAGCTAAATTGCTGTTTTCAGTCTCCTTGCTTGTTTTATGAACAAATAAGAGAGCGCAACGATGTTTTTGCATGAGAACTACAGCTGTAGGAAAAGCCGATACTAGATCTTCCCCCATCGAGTGAGTATTTGTGTATATTAAGTAGCATGTAAAGATGGTTATGTGAGAAGGAATGAAAATGTTTTTTTTTTCCTCCTGCTACTCTGCACCAGGTCTCCTAACAGCTAAAATACGCAGGTTGTTTAACATGTTATTGCTTAAAATTGGCTTAGATTTTATAATCCTTCAGTCACTGATGCCAGCTTTGGTAGGGGAATCCAAAGAATCCTTGAAAAAGGACTTTCCTTCAGCCACAAAATCCCTTGGGCATCCTGCTGGACTGTAGGTCACTGTCTACTACTTGAGGGGTAGAAGACTTTTCTATGGCTATGCAAAATTTTAAATACTTAAATATTTCTGCTCCCTCCCCTCCGAGCTGATCTCATCTCAACAGTGGATTGCAGAACAGTGCTATTTAGTCCCTAAAAATAAACATTTACCTGTTCCCCTGTGTTCTTCCTCCAGGCTGTTCTAAGAAAGTGCCAGGCAGCTGGGAGCTGAACCTGGTATTTGTGATGAGTCTCATAGCTAGAAAAAACTGTTTCTTTAGGTGCTAATGGCCAGACATCATGCTTTTTTTTTTTTTTTTAAACCCTGCATTAAGGCAATAATATTAGAGCAGGTCGGTTTTAACAATAATATATCCTTTTAGACTTGTGTTAGCTGAAGCTGCCAGCTACCCTTGTACTTCCAGATTAATCAGACAATGATAATTATGGTTTTGGTTTTTTTTTCAGGCTTACCTTTAGAAACCGGATGTCTTTTTTTCTCTTCCAGAATACACGAGAGCCTAGATTACTTAGACGGCAGAGCTACAGTTTTTCATTCTTGTTATCTCTCTGCATGGGCGAGTACCAGCTCAGACATGAAACAGTCAGTAGTTCTGGGTCACTTCATTCTGCCTCCCGCTTGCTTGCAAGAAGGTTAGGGAAAACAGCTGACTCTTACTCCGTGCTGTATTCCCCCTGTAAGCACAGACACTTTGGGGGGTGCCAAACCAGACTCCAATTACTTTTGTTCTGAGGGTGGGGAATTTCCTTCTGCTAGGTGTGATTTTTCCTCCCTGGGGGGCAGATGGAAAGGCAGGGTGAAGGAGGTTTTACCTTTGAAGAAATTAATCTATTATATTGCGCTAGTGAGCAATGCCATTCAGTGAGCTTCTACCAATGGTCCTGAGTGCATTAGCGATGACCTGTAACAGGTAGGGGCTTGCTTAGACAGAGACTGCTAGACAGTGTCATTATTTAATGCTTTTACATTAATTTATTTTTGTTCATGGCAGAAATCAGAAGAAAAATTGGTAGTTTTATTTGGGAGCAGATGGATGATTCCCTTGTGGAACAGGTAAGATAAGAGGTATATACAGGTGGTGTTGACCTGCCCTGTAAAAAACCAGACGCATCAGCCTCAGGGACCCTTGTTTTTCATCCCTCAAACCAAACGTGGGATCAAACGTTCCTATGTCCTGTGTGTTCCTATGTCCTGTGCTGTGTGTCCTTCCCCAGCGTGACATCCCAGGGACACAACACTGGGTTAAGTATGGGTTACGCAGAAGGGATTTTCTCCCTTACACCTCATAGACATCCTGTCTCCCCTATACATCCTTCCAGTGTATAGGGAAGGATATACCTCCAATAACCAGGCTGCCTATAGAGTTGCTGAGAGCTGAGTTCAGCCGTTCTATATGATTCCAAAGCTTTATGCCTTTTTTCCCATTGCAGGGGAGTAGGCTAGATGGCTTAAAGATAATATCCCTGCTGTGCCACAAACATGGATTTACTGTCTTGGCAAATTGTATTAAGTTGAAGGGACCAAGTGCACAATTTTAATTTAACTCTGTGTTGATAGTCACAGCCCAGTGAAAGCCTACTTGATGAACCAGAGGTGGTGAGAAAAGACAGCGAGCAGGATGCAGAGGATGCACTAGATCTGTCTGAAAGGTACTTTTCCTTATCCTCAGTGGTAGGATTTGGACATGCAAGATGCATGCCCTGCGCTCTCCGCTCCCCTACCCATCGCTCCCTGCAAAACTAGAAGCTGCTGCAGGACTTCTGGTCTGGCACAGGTCAGGTGGCATCAAAGGGATCACCTTGGAAGCTGTGTGATCGTACTGCAACGTTGAGGGCCACAGCCTGGATTTTGGCATGGCCACACAACGAAAGGAAAGCTGAACTTTCCTTAAGCCTGCTGATTCAGCCCAAACCATCAGCTTTCAGAAAATATACAAAACAGGAAATAACACACCTACCTTTCCTCCCCTATATAGCAGTGAAGAAAAAACAGACTCAAGAACAACCACCCAAGGGGAATTTGCATACCATGCTCTTCAGGAATACCCAGTGAATAACATGGTGACAGGTAAAGTTTAACACAGGTAGACATTTAAGAGGTGGAAAATATGCTTAAATATGATGGGGGATGCTGATGAAGCAGGGCCCATATTATGTCCTGGGCATTCCTTAGTTCTGGTGCTTACGCGCGCGGGCCTGTTTTCAGTCCTGGCTGCGTACAGTTAACGTTCATACAATTTTGTTTGGCGTTGCTCTTTATCTAACGGCTGGGCTTCACTTAACAACTGTAACTGTCTTTTTACTGATATTGCTTGGTTTTGACACATCTGTATTGTTTACTACTTGTCACCTTAATTTCTGTGGTGCATGTAAATATAAAAAGTGATGCTGCAGTAATTGCTCTAGGTGGAAGAGGTTGCTGTAGTTAAAACTTGCTGGCTAGTAAATCTTAGAACCTTATTTTCTCCAGACGTTATCTATTTCCAGCCCTTAGAAACTTCTAAGAGAAAAAATAGCCATGGCTATAACTCTGATGGTGTGACTGCAACTGCTCCCTTCTCCACAGCAGTTTACATTTTCTGTAGTCCTTGTTTTGTCTAGTAAGAGTAGCCCAGACTTCCCACGATGAGACTTACACTTTCTTTTTGCAGGCTACGTCTCTGCTCGTGACATGAAGAAATACGTTGGAGAGCTACGCGATTTCATTCCTGGCACCTCAGGTTACACAGCATATTGGATTCAAAATGAAATTAACATTTACTCTGATGTGAAAAATAAATTGAAAAGAAAATTATAAGTAACAGGTGGCTTGCTCTCAACAAAAACTTGATTAAGCTCTGCCACAACGCTATCAGGCATGTATAGATCCCTTCTGTTTATTAACCATCCTATAGTTACACTTTCAGATGCCTACTTGCTCTCTCTTTTCTGCAGACGGATGGTTATTTTAAGTCTGCATACTTACTGTGTTTTGGTTAGATAGTGAAGAGATTGGTGGTATTGAACTAGAAATTCTGAGTTAAATCTCTGTAGTACTTGAGGACTTATAAATTATCCCTGCTTGGCTTATCCTGACTACAGCTTGTTCAGTGTATATTTAAATATCTGGCTCTGTTTGCTATAAATATTTTATTCTTTAGTATTTGAAACAAATTCTACAGCAAACTTAAATATAGACAGATATGTCAAAAAAGAGCAAATCCTTCGCCTTTTTATTTGGATCGGGGATTTAAGATGGTCATCCCGCAGTTGTTGGAACAGCAGTTTTTAGGACACGCAGGTCTCCTGGGACAACATACGGAAGTGTCACTGACTCACACAGCACGCGGGCAGTCCTGCACAGCGGTCAACCATGATTTAAAAAAAAAGAGGGAAGGAGGGAGAAATCGCCCCACAGCACAGTCTCGCCCGTCTGCTGTACACACACACCCCTGTTAGACCCGGCACGCCTTCTAGCAGTGTGGGTGGCACCGTCACAGGGCTGGGAGGGCAGGCAGAGGCTGGCCCAGGCTCTCCCAGAACAAATGTGAGCCCCTTGGGTTTGCACGGGAGCCTTTGTGCGCTGGGCCCCAAACTTCCTCGAAGCAGAGCCCTCATGGGCCACGCAAAGGCCTGAGTGCAAGTGCCAAAGTCGGTCACACAAAGACCAGGAAGCAAAACACGCGGATCAAGACTCCTCACCCAGTCAGGCTGCACCAGGGCCTACCTCCACAGGGGAGCTTCCATCCGCGAATACTGGCTGCTCTCTGCAGCCCAGTTCTCTCCCCTCTTAGAAAGACAAATAAAGACAGACTTTTTCTTCTTTAATTCTTAAATGAAAAATGCAACTATAAAAGGCACCTTTTTATTTCAGCACAGCATGCCCTCTAGATAGCCACCCCCGCAGAACAACAGCCCTGAGGTTTTTTCCCAGACCCACACTACAGGCAGCTGCCAGGAACGTTTGGAAAGACCACAATCAGAACACACACCGGGATGCACACACAGCGAGGAGCTCCAGCAGGCCCCACGAAGACACCATGCTCGCCCTCTTGTGGCTGCGTACCACCACCATGAGGGCAGCACACACGCCTGCAGGAAAACCTGTAAAAATTTTGCACCTCAGTCTCAAATAGCCAGGAAAGACCTCTAAACCCTGTCCATAAATGTGGATGATTAATTTTCCTCACACCTCGAAGCCCTGGAGAGTCGTCCTTGGGACACAGCACCCCGGGAGAAGTCAGCTCACCCCTGTTCATCCATGTGGAAACAGGCTTTGAAAGAACAAGCAGGCCAAATTGGTTTCCCACGTTTATTGGAAAAGTGACATACAGCGACAGACTCAGAGAGCTCCTCGGGGTGTTTTGAAGTTCATCCCCACCGTGGGCTGTGTGACCTGCAGGTTGGACAGGCTGCCGAAGTCCTGGAAGACAGCACAGGATCAGTCCCTCAGCACCGCACGCTGCCAGCCCTGCTCCTGCCCTGGCCGCCTGTCTGTGCCCAACCCCACCAAGGGGGAAGGCAGATTCCCCCAGCCTCTCCCAAGAGGAGCAGAAAGGGGAGCGTCGAACACGCTGTGGTAGGAGGAAAGGTGGACCCACATCTTGGGGATACCGGGGACCGGCTTACGGCAGTGTTAATGAGAAGGTGAGAAGGCCACCCTATTCTGGAGACCACTTTTGCAAGCAGCTGGGGAAACTGCTCTTTTCTGGCTGAACTGTCTCAGTTTGGGATAAAGATGGTATCTGCTGCTATCTGACAGGAAGGAGAGCTGTGCAGAGGAAAAGCACAAGCTCCAGCCAGCAAGAGCTGATGGGGCTGGAAGCAGGGGTAGTGGGGGAAGAGGGGAGGGCAGGAAGCACATCCACCCCTGCTAGCACAGCCCAGGGCAAAACAATTCCACCTTTCCCCTTCCACTTTGCAGGCGCCAGGACTCCTAGGAGAGGGAGCGTGTGACAGATAGACCTCTTACCCAGCACTGTGTAGAAACCCCCTCAGGTTTCTGATGAAAAGGGACACAAGAACTCCACTTTCCAGTGTCAGGGTCCCATTTGAGCAAGAGCAGCTTACATGGGGATTAACCCACCGGCAAGTCCCAGAGCGAAGGTTCACTGCCCCCCCGAAGCCAACAGAGCTTGGCCTCCTTGTTGCCCTTGAGCACTGGGACCAACTACCGCCCAGTCACTTGCCCAGAACGTTCATGTCTTCAGCCAACATTATCAAGCCCCTCATTGCACCTACAGCACTGCCAGGGACATCACCGTCAGTCTCGGCACAGCTACAAAAGTCAAAAGCTTTCCCTGCTAGCAGGAGGATGGCTCAGGCTACTCACCAGAAGCTTCAGCATTTCCTTGGTGTCAGGGTCCACTTCAATGATCTCCTGGTCGAGAGCAGAGACCTGGGGACAGAAGAGAGACGGCCGCAGTTTGGAAGTGCCGCACAGAACAGAATCAGGCCCCAGAACCATGTCCGTGCTTGGTTTGATGCTAAGCAGGTCTGCTCTGTCTGGGGGCTCCCCACTCACAGCAAGCCCTGATCCCATCTCCACTGAAAGGGAGCTGCTCGTAAGGGACCGACTCCTTCCTGCAGCTGCTTCCTCCACATTCAGAATTGCCCAGCAATTTTTCCCACATGAACAAGAGCTCACTGGCCACCGTGGGGAAGAGCTCCAGAGCCAGCAACTGTATAAGCCAGGAAGACACTTGCAAACATAGCTCAGGCCACAGAAACATCAGAAGAAACGCTTCTTCCTCAGGAATTCGGGTGCTGGCCACTACCTGTGAAGGGCCTCGCCTGGCACTGAGGTTCTCACTGTTCCTTGCATCACAAGCTCCATCTGCCAGGAAATGCTACAGACACCTACACACTCCAGCTCTCCTGCGGAAACACCGCGAGAGACTACCTTACAGCAGAGAGGTGCTACACGAGGAGCGGTGCCTGTTTTAAGGCAAGTCCCCAACAGCCTTTGAAAGCCTGGTCAGCACCTCCATCCACTCCACACCCACAGGACAGCAACAACCAACACTCTCGAGAGCAGCTGGGGCCAGGTCCTGGGCGCTGGTGGAGGCAGGTTGCGACAGCAGAGTACTCCTCTGCTTTAGCTCAGCCACAGAGCCAGCCAACAACCCCGGCCATCCTGTTTCTGTTGCCATGTCCTGCTGGCTAGCAGGCCCACAGCTGTACTAAATCTCTGTGATTACCACTCAAATTCACACTTACTGAAGAGTTCTGCTACTTCAGTCCTACAGCAAGGATGCATTACTGGTAGTCTGACCGCTGCTGGGCCACAAACAGCGACGCTCAGCAACTGCCCGGGCTGCACCTCTCGGCAGTCCCGCGCCCCAGGACTTTTCAAAAAGGGCTAGGGATCCGAGGTCTCCTGCTCTGTAACTGCAGTGCAATCTCCCCTTCCTCTCTCAAAACCTCAAATCTTGATCTCTGTGCACTTCTTTCACAAGCAGCTACATACAAAACAGTACTTTTACAAGAAACAATGAATTACCCAGGTTCAACTAACATTGAACTGGCAAGTACCACACAAACGCTTCTTCCCTTTCCTGCTCGGGAAAGGGAGGAATAAGAGCCGTAAGCATCAGGAGCAACTTCTTCCCCCAGAAGTTCATCCTCATCCTGCCTTTGAAATGCAGCTAGAAGGTCACTACGTGAAATACTTGGACAGCCGCCCCAATGGTTTCCTCCAGGCCTCTTACACCCACTTGGGAAACACCTGCAGCTTACTCTGAGACAGCCTCGCAGGTCAGCACAACTATTCTTATGCCTCAACACCCCAAGTTTTAGGGATATATGGAAGAGTATCTGCATGGAGCTGCCAATATTTCACGAGTCATTTCTAGATATGAGGAGTGAGGGAGTCAAACCAAGGCCTGGCTTTAGCGTAGAGCAACGCCTGGTCTCTGTGGAGGGCAGGGTTACTCCATCTTGGGTTAGCACATCCAAGATGATAAAGTGGCGAGAGCATCCCTGAGGGAGATCTCAAAGCGGGGAGGACAGCATCAGCCTGGCTTGCTACGCTGACAAGGCTCCTGTGACAGTCCTAGCATCATATCTATTCTTCCTAGATCCAGGATTTCATCACTGCTAAAATAATCTTCCACATGACCAAACCCTGTGCCAAGCCCTAGCACCAGTGGTTTACAAGAGCTGAAGAGCAGAGGTAGGGCTTGGAACCGACCAGTTATTTTTATGCTGCACAGAAACTAACAGGTTTATCAGAAGCTAAGGAGATCTGGAAAACAGGTGAGAAGCAGTGTGTCTGAAAGCTACAGGGTTTGGGAGGGACGGTACTGAACCCACCAAACACGGGAAACGCTTTCAAAATTCCTCTTCCTGCACTATCAATGATCAGGTCACACACCAGACCTAAATCACTTTCGAATGCAGGTTCAAGATCAAAGACTCAAGCAGGCACTTCTGCAAACGACAAAGACAGCACCCAAGCGGGCAACACTCTGCTTTCCTGGCATCCTTCTATGAGAGCTTGGCATTCTGGCGCTGTTTTACAAACCTGGAGCAGCTCAAGAGATTTTCAACGATCACCTCCCTTTAGTGACACCTACGGTACACCAGTTTTCAGGCCACTCAGAAATATTGTTCTGCATAACATCAAGTTATTTTTTCCTCATTTTAAATCAGAAGAATTGAGGACAGGTATTATCTACCCCTCCCAGCAAACTGGCAATGGAGTCAACACGCAAGAAGTCAGCTGCTCTTGCCAACCCATGCAGCCGAATTTTTGAGGAAAAGCCAGGAGTACCTCAGATACGAGGCCAAAATCTGCCTCCGTCCTCCTCTTCCACCCAAATCCTCCTCACTCACAGTTGTAGCTGAGGTTTTGTTTTAAAGGAGGCTGCTAACAAAAAACCATTACATGTGGGTGTTCTTTAAGGGTGCATTTATCATTCGAGTGATAAGGAGAAAAGATGTCTGAAGACAAGGATGGACAGACCCCACAGTCGCTCTTTGTGGACACAGACGCCTAAGGGAGCTCTCGAGAGCAGCCAGAAACTTACCTCTGGGACATAGTTATCCCTCCTCTCTCTTTCCTCTTCCTGCAGTTTGATGGAGATGCCTCTGACAGGCCCCCTCTGAATACGCTTCATCAGGTGGGTGACATACCTGCAGGAAACGAGCAGAAGACCATCCATCCAGGGCCTGCTTTTCTGACATAACAGCTTCAACCCACGGCGTCAAAGTCTCAGTTTGCCACCCTTGCTCTCTCCAGATTGCAACAGACTTTGTACCGGATTCAGACAGCCAGAAGGGCTCACCTCCAACCCTCCTCCACGGCATGCCAGAGAGGTCAATTCCACGAGCAGGATCCTCCTGACAACCCAGGCGTTATTTCACCGCCTCAGAGTAACGTTAGCGCCAGAAAAGTGTACGAAAGCAACAGGGTCCGGTAGGGATGGGAACGACCCCACCAAACACGGGAAAAGCTTTCGAAATTCTTCTCCCTGCACTATCAATGACCAGGTCACAGACAAGACCAGAATCACTTTCGAATGCAGGTTCTAGCACAAAATGTTAAGTGCTGCTCACAGTCCTGCGAAGAAACTGGACATAAGAAAACCTCTGCGCAGCGACGTCCAACCCTTGGACAGGACACTGCCCTGTTTTTTCCCAGGCTCTCCTAAGAGAGATTCCCTTCCAAATCCTATGTGCGTCTTTTGCGCTGGAGCCTAAGACAATCCTTACAGCTTTCTCAGCGACCAAACGCCATCCTAAGTGCTGTTGCCCTCAAGAAAAAAACGTTTCCAAGTCAGCTGCAGAACGACAAGGAAGAAGTTGTCACTGGCCTAACGCAAGGGAGAACATAAGGACTCAGGCTTCTGTTATTAAGTACAGCTAAATATCGATTTCACCTGATATCCTGCAGCTAACAGATGCTGGAGAAGCGGTGGAAACATCTTGTAAATCCACCTCAAGCTAGCACGGAAGGCCTGAAAGCCAACCGCAAGACATTTCCAGAACTGAAGCAGCACAGTGGCACAGGAAGAGAACAGGTAAAATTTAAGCTGAAGCATCTCCTCCAAGACCTCCCGCGATACAGCGGCACTCCAGAGATCCTGAAGCAGCTCCAGCGTCTGGGGAGCAGGATGCGGCGACTCGCGTGATGCATACACCCGCGCGTCCACGCAGCACTAACTCCTAACTGCGAGTTTCTCGCGCCCGCCGCGCCGGGCCTGACTTCACCCCATAGGACAGACCCCATCTCGCTCTCCTGGGGAGGTCCCGGGTAAGCCCGGGGGGCCGCCTTACCCCGCAATCTTGTTGCGCAGTTTCTTGCTGGGGATGATGGCGATTTCCTCGCACACCCGCTTGTTTGTGTGGAAGTCGTTCCCCAGCCGGGTGTAGTACTTCTCGATGATCACCCGGGCGGCCTTTTTCACCGTCTTCGTTCGCACGCGTCCCTACAAGGGTGGGGAAAAGGGGTCACGCCACAGCAAAGCGCCCCGCCTTTGAGCAACCCGCCGGCGGGGGAGCCCCCCGCGGCCTGCTGCAACG